GTTTATGGTTTAAAAATCATTTAAGCTTTTGGTGACTTTAAGAGACTTAGTTGGGACGTATTCCAGATATATAGGCAATCAGATTCAATTAGGGTAAAGACAGTGAAGATAAAGAGTGGTAGATTGATAAAAAGAATTGTTTAGTAGAAAAAAAATCAGAACTTGGTGACAGAATTATTTCATTGCAGTTTTATATGTGTACAGTTTTGGTGCTCAGGAAAAATCCAAATGGAAGTGTCACAAAGGCAGACAGACATGTATTCAGAAATCAAAACAAACAAAAAGAAAAGAAAAGAAAAGAATACTGGGAATAAACGTGTTGATTGTTCATAGATATCATAGGCATGTAAATGGAAGTTGAAGTTTTACAAATATTAGAGAGCAAGGTTGTATGTCAAATGACTATTTCACTCATTCAACATATAATTGAACTCCTAAGAAAGTAATAATTTTAGGAAAGAAATTCAAATTGAAAATCTAGAAGCATGTTGGATTTGGTTTTACACATGTATAAAAGACCTGACAAATATGATTTTGTCAAATATGTAGTAAAATATACATGAGCATAGTGAGAAGAAACTTTTTTTTTTTGCTTAGGTAAGATATTTTAAAATTTTGTTTCAGATATTATAGCTGAGAGTAAATATTAATATAAATGATGTCTGCTTTTTTTCCTGATAGGACTAAAGAAAACTCACTTGAAACTTTAAGATACATGTAAATCTTACCCTTTCTCTGGGTGAACAGCTATAGATCTTGGTTGATCCAGGCCTTGGGACATAATGACATAACGGAAAGAACCATTGAGTCTCGCAACTTCGATTAGATTGAAACCATGATCTGTCCAATATATGTTACCTAGGAGAAATATAAGAGTATTCATAATACAATTGTGAGAAAAAAATTATTTATTGGTTATGGCTAAATGGTTATGGTTAATTTTCTGAGCATTCACATAACTACTAAGTCATTGTTTACTTCCTACATTTCTTTTTTAATGGGTATATTTCTTAAACAGAAAAGCTAAAAATAAACTATGCAAACATTTCCAATCCTAATCTCTGGTTTAAGCCATATAATGTTACATTTATGTGCTTACTAAATTGAAACTTTTCCTACCCAAAGAAGGGCTCTATTTTCACTTTCTACTCACTTCAGGCAAAAGGAAAAGTCTAACTCTTTTGTTTACCTACTTTACAAAGCTCTCAGGAGACTTGGGCAAAGTTAACAGTACATAATCTATTTCTACATAAAAATACTGATACAAAGGCTCAAAAGCATGT